ATATTTACAGTTAGTATATTTTCAAATTTTAAAATTAATTTCTAAGTATATTATGTAACATACTTTCCAAAATTGTCCAATTGCTTTGCTTCCCCTCGTGTCTTTCGTGCATGTTTTGTCCACCCATCAATCCTATGTTCTATCATAGGTTAACCTTTAATTAATTAATTAATTAATTGCCAATTGCAAATTCATGTATATAAAAAAAAAAGTAGTTACCTTGATTTTGCTTCTCTGAGTGCATACTTGCATCATTAATTAATTAATTAAATGTAGAAAAAATTAATGAAAGTCGTCTCTAATTCATGAATTCAACTACTACCTGCTCCTTAGCTTCCTCTAAAACTAAAAGCTCTGCATCCCTAGCAGAGCTAAGTTAATAGAAATCAAGAGCCTCAGTTACTCTACTAAACACATACAGATTGCTAATCTCTGTTCTTCTCGTGCACAAGCACAGCTCCACTTAAACCTCTCTCTTCCACCTCCTATTTCCACCTCCTACATGACGAGAGGGAAGGAAGCCATTGCCATGTTGTGAAGGTGACAGGGGAAGAGTCGTCAGCCTCATGTCTATAATTTCTCTCCTCGTGCACAAGCAAAGCTCCTCTTAAACATTTCTCTTCCACCTCCTATATGAGGAGGAGGAAGGAAGTCGTTACCATGTTGTAACATAACAAACACTTCCTACAATCTGATATAATTATTATCTAATTGCAAGTACACTTGATGTCTGTATGCATTGTCCATTTAGAAGTAAAGCATATACTTGATACACTGCTCTTTTACATTAGCATTATAAACTACGTACTTGATCTGACTCTACCTACCAATAATATAGAATTACAAGTATAATTACATGCCACGATCAGGTTTACACTACGTAAACCATACCCACCTCTAGCAGAGACGCTGGTGGCACCTTGAGTGCCACATCTGGCCCTCGGCAATTCCTTCTCAAGAAATTATACCCAAAATTAAGTGCCACCCTTTTCAGAAGAGATGACCCTTGTTTTGCTCGAACATGGGAATGCCCGATTATGAATGCCGTCCCAGCTTGTTGAGCACCTAATAAATCTTCTATCTCTTCTTGCAAATGCACATGGACCCGATCTCCACTAGTTCCAGACTCATCATCGTTAATGGCAAATCTCACTCTTTTTTCAACCCCTTCCATCTCAATAACATCTGTTACACTCTCTACAGATGAGAATCCAGCAGATGCACTTGCCGCTTCTACCGTCTCTTCCATTTCATTCTCATATGCAGGTGGCCTACACAATGCGGCCGTCCCAATCACGGCTAATCTACATTCACTCGATTCATTAGAACAGGTAGCATCATCCCCCACGCAACTACTAGTATGCTGCTTTTGGTACCAATCATAGCGTATGAAATCAGCCAGCTTCTCAACTAGTTCGGCTTCAAAAGAATCAACATCTTGGTGCACATCACGGTATCCATAACGCACAATGCACCTATAGGAACGGTGAGCTGCAGGCCCCACTCGCCCCACAAGGTAACGTTCCGCCAGGGGAACATAAGGGACAGGTACCGATTTAACACACACAAAAACAAGAATACTGTGAAAAGCCGGGAGGTTGGTGACAAACCGAGAGAAATTAGCAGGGATTCCTGAGGTGAGATCAGTGAAAACCAAACCAATACCAGGCACTCTAGCAATTCCTAAGCTTGGTCCCAAGGCTAAAAGCCATTCTAATGATACCTTGTTGTGGACATCATATTCATATTTCTTATTGGTGGCATAATGCCAAACAAACATGATGGTCATGAGGAAAAGAGCAAGCAGAATAGGAAGCCACGCACCTTCCCTGAACTTGGTGAGCGAAGCTGAAAAATAAAGCAACTCAATTGACCCAAAGAAAAACAGAAAGGAAAGGGCCACTATAGAGGGCTTGTGCCAACAAAGGATAATAACCATGGAAGTGAGACTTGTTGTCACCAACATCACTGTCATCACCGCTAAACCTGCAACCCACAAACAGAATACACAATCGTGATTATCTTCCGAGGAAAAATGTTTATATGAACTTATCTAACTGATGGTAGCTAGCTGGAAGTAATGCTCTGGAAGGCAATATGAGTAGATCTAACCTGATGCATTTCCCATGTGTTTTGTGTCTCTAAATCCGATGGTCACAGCAATGCAAAGGATCATAAGCATCCAATTAATCTCAGGGATATAAATCTGACCATGTATCTTGTCAGAGGTGTGAATAACCTTGACTCTGGGAAAACAGCCAAGTGATTGACTCTGGTTTATGATTGAGAATGTTCCACTAATGATTGCTTGGCCTCCCACTACAGAGGCAAGAATTGCAATGATAAGCACTGGCCACCTCACACTCTCTGTACAGAAAAGGTTTAAGCAATCATGCTTTGTTCAGATAAGTTTTAAAAACACACGTTTCTAATCCACAAGTCGAATTTACGCGTATACATCAACATGGGAGGAATCCTATCAATTGTACTTGCTTTTCAGATATAACAATAAGGTATACCTGGAACGGACACATAGAAACTGATTTCATAACTCGTATGGTGATGCTGTGACAAGTAAGCAGCTTGCCCCATGTATGCCAATATAAGTGCTGGATAAACCAGAAAAGTGAAAGCAATCTGCAACAGGATAAAAATTAGTAATTCACTTTTTACTCTAATGTCAGTTACAAGATCATTACCAAAGAAAAATAGAAAGTGAAATAGAAAATAAAATTTAGAATTACCTGAATTGCAGCATAAGAGAAGTGGCCAAGATCAGCAAACATTGCCTCTGAGCCTGCATTTTAGAAGAAGAAAGTTTCAGTTTGGGTTTGATAATTCAATAAAATGAAATTGGACAGAGTCCAGATTCTTGTTATTCAAAAACTCGGATCAGATTATCATGATGATGATGACCAATTGTATCAAACAAAAATCAGTCCAGCAAATAGACATAGCATCCTTCCCATGAATATTGTGAGCATATAACTTCAGAATTTAAATTCCAATCCAGAACTTATTAGGAAAACATGACATATGAACTCCTCGGGAAAGCACTTTCTTCTATACTAACTAAGAAGTGGTCCATGCATTCTTAAACACTGCTGGAACAATGGTACTATCACAATGAATCCAATATGCATGAAAGTATAAACCTATACCCTGGCCAATAAATGTCTTCACATTTTTCTGTATGGTAGGCTTCACAGAAAGTCATCAAATGTGCATGCTTTTGTTTTCTGGACTCACCTGTTATACACAGCAATATTCCTCCTAAGGACATCCACCCGCCTTTCTTTGTCTTCTTCAAAAACTTGAACATGTAATATGGAGAAAGAGCTTGATACACATGTGGGTTCCAGTAAATTATGTTATACAAGCCAAGGGCACTGATGCACAGTAGCCATGTCAACACAACTGGTGCAAACAAAAAACCCACCCGATGTGTGCCATAGTGTTGAAGTGCAAAAAGACACACCAAGATAAAGCATGTTATTGGAATCACAGCATCTGCATATGAGGGCATAGAATTTAGTTGAAAAAATACAGAATGATTAAAGCAAAGACTTATCTCAAGAGTTGTCTAGAATAAACTCTTAATATATCAGTTATAGAAAGAAGCAAGCTTTAGTGGCTGACTCATTAAGTGTGGAGTTTATGTGTGAAAAAGAAGAGAATGATTAAAGCAAGGATTATAATTCACAAATAATTTCAAAGTTTGACTAACTGCATAGCCATGGGATGCAGATAGAATACTAAAAAGTTTAGCCCATGATAAAGGGAGATGACATTAAGTAGCCATTTAAAAGCCATTGCCAGAACAAAATATCACCCTGTCAATGAATGCCATTTCCATAATTCTGAAATACAATCTTCAGGAGTCTAACAGTTTTAATGTCATTCCTCATTATCTGATTCAATTTGACAAGAATAACCCTTTTTGTCATTCCTGAAAGTCTGAAACCAAATTCATTAACTCCTTAACTGGAAGCTAAAGAACAGTAGTACCAAAGAGAGGATAGAATATGCATTCTAGACTACAACTTGCAATTTGGATGGTCCTGCATAAGGCTCATTAACTGGGGTCAGAATTTCATATCCCTATCATCTGACTGAGATGAGACATCATCACGGTATACGGGTATAGTCCTTATCATCTACTAAATCTTCATGATGTCAATTACGCAAATAAATCTAACAAAACAGTAAATCACCAGATAAGACTACCAAGTCTAACAGCTCACTCCGCTAACCCAGATCTCAATTTCTCCTGAACAATCACCACAAAAATTGGTCCAACTTCAATGCATTTTGACAAAAATAAAAATGGAAAGAAGCTAATCCTATCATGCTATATCTTTTCTTCTTGCTCTCCATTAATTTAAACAACTAGGAGAAGTTTGAACCTTGTCATTAATAGATTTCAACATGATTCCTAGTAGAACAATATGCAAGAGGCAAGAGCAAGCTGAGGGGCTTACACTGATGATGGTCTGCAGACATAGATAACTCAAGGCCAGACACTGCAGAGAAAACTATACAAAGCAAAAATAAAATAAAATAAAAATATGTCAATAAATTGGAGGTAAGGAACAGCAGCCAAAAGCAGTAATTAAAAAAGAGCCATCTCCAAGCAAAATAATAATAAATCAAGCAAGTTTTCGCTATTGTCTACTTTACCAGAAATTGCTGGAGTGAGAAGTCCATCTCCAATTACCATACATGTGCCCAAAAGAACCAGGATTAGCAAAGCAGTGTGCAAGGCCTTGTGCTTCTCCAGGTACATTTTTACCATTGAGCTGTTCTTTTTCTTGGGAGGGTGCTCCAGTTTATATGTAGAGAGCTCTTCATCAGCAACCTGTCTGCTGGGAAGAAGGCTAACATTTGCATGCCGGCATATCAACGAATACAAAGCAAAAGTACCTCCTGCAGAATTGTGCATCAAAGGTTCAATTTCATGGCTAAACAGCACATAAAAATTTTGGAACCATTTCCTACTTACCCTCTCCATTATCATCAGCTCTGAGGACAACAAAAACATACTTGAATAAGGGGATTAAAGTAATAGTCCAGAAGACGAAGGACAGAACACCAAAAATCTCTTCATTTGTATCTGAATGTTGAATGTCTTCAGCAAAGGTGCTTTTATAGACATAGAGAGGGGAAGTACTTAGGTCTCCATACACCACCCCAAGGCTTTGATATGCTAAAAGCAATAATGTCTTCCAAGAATCCTTCTGCAATTTGTTTCAACTTAAATTAAAACTAAAAATAAAAAACCTTTGAGAGTTCAGCTTTGTTACAAAAACAATATATGCCCCATAGTGTAGTTCTAACTGTACATGATCCTTGCAGTGACTTGTAGCCTACCACCATTCTAAGAACAGAACTATGAAATACTCGCATGGAGGTGGTGGCTAAATACACAGGGAAGCAAAGATCCATAAGATTAAGCAGAAGGGGAAATGTACAAACCTTTGAGGGATCCCTAGACTGGCCATGCTCAAGATCCATGATTATCTTCAGAGGAAGTTGTTTCTACTGAACACAATTACTCGCAGATCTGCTGTGAGACAAACAAAGTGCCGATTTTCAGTAGCCTCCTCCAATGGAATAAACAACAGAATATCAAAAAGAAAAACCTCCAGGGACATTGATGAGCATACCTACTTTACACTGGCAAATAGAGGAAGTCACGTTCACCCACATGCCATCCATTTCTCTGTAACATCCCTACCAAACTTTGAGAAAGCTGAACACATCTTTTTTTTTATTCTAAAATTTCACAAAACATCAATGGAGGTGACTGCAAATAGCTACAACTGAAAAAAAAAAAAAAAAAACGGATTGGAGGCTTAACTACAGATAGATTGGAAACCATAAGTGCAGAAGGGCCCTTACTTACTTGCCCTGTATTTTATTTTATTTTATTTTTATTATTATGAAAGGAAAAGAAACTGATATCTCACCGTTTCTTGGAATCCAATCAAACACGAAACTGTTAAAACCATGACAGAATAACATGAGCAAGAAGAGCAATCATCAGTGAGAGAATCGTTTGATGGCAACCATAAGGCACAATCACGTGATTCTATAGACAGTTACATTTGCAACCCCAACTTGAGGAGCAAATACAGCTGACATCAAGTACCATTGTTTTATCGTTTATCAACACCATAAACCGATACTACCCCACTTCCTCTGTCCAATTTCTCACCCAACTGAAAAGCACCACTGCGCAGCCTCTGTGGATGAATGCTGAGGAGGTTCAAACCCCACTCAAGACTTGGAAAATTTCCCCCACCTTCCCATTCTCAACGGTTACCATTTGAAAAAAAAAAAAAATGGCAACCAACCCTTTTATCTTTCCTTTTCTTGAAGAAACTGTATTTGACAGTGATAAATTAATGGGTTCTGGTTCGGGTAGGTAGCACTAGCAAATTAAGGAAGGAAATGCGCAAAAAAGGTTAAAAAAAATAAAATAAATATCAATGCTTGATAAAGAACTTCCACCCAAAAGTTATTTTCCTTTTAATCCTTGCCTATGCCCAAAAGCTCAAAACTTCTAGAAATTAAGATCATATTCACGTATTAGTGAATTGCAAAGAATTACCAATCTGAGTTCTACACCTATCTTTTTTATTATTTATTTTTCCAAGTACTCTTCTCATGCCTGGTGGGGTTCAGCTTTTATACTCATTTTGTAATTTTTCAACATTTTAGGCTGCCAAACAGCGTTTCAATTGCAATTGGCCTTTGGTTCAGTAGCGTCAGGTCACGTATAAGTATATTCCCTCACTCTCAAAACAATAGTTCGAATCCAACCTCTTTTAAATTTGTTCAAAAAAAAAAAAAAAACAGCATTTCAATTGCATCAATCTCATGGTCAAATTTGAAGACAATGACCTTTTATTTTTAGTACATTGCTCGCTCTACACTGACTCTGGAAAGATGTATTCAATGTTTTTGGATTCAGTCCGATCGATCGATTGAACCGATTGAATTAGACCTGGGCCTAAAAACGGATCGGTTGAAGCTTCAGCCTGTTTAGGTAAACGGCCCGTTGAAACCCGTCAAGCCCGTCGTGCCCGTTGAACTCGTGTGAGCCGCTACAATCGACCGGGTTGAAATTTTCACCATCTTTTTTTTTTTTTTTTGAGGAAAGGTAATTAGCAATGCATTAGGGAAACTGCCATATGGCATCTACATCTAGACCTTATCCAAAAGGATAAGAGTAACAGACAAAGAAAAGAACAAACTGGAGAAGCAAAGTAGAGTAGAGCCGATGCATAGGAGGAAGGGAGGTGAAGCCACTCGAGCAACCTGTGGTCGACTAATCCAGCCATGGGACACCCTTCAATCTACTTCGGAGAGGATGGCGCGAAATCTCCAGGATGCCGTGGCAGAGATCCAGGTCGGCGGTGGCTAGATTTGGAAAATTAGCGAACACCTACCAAGATCTGCAGGATAGAGCCGAGGGTTGCCTGATCTGAAAAACATAAACTATACAAGAACATAAAGCAAAACAAAACAACCAGAAAAACAAGAAAACCAAAAGGGGTCACCAAAAAGGGACCCAAAAGCTGACAGCCCTGGAAGGGTCATCGGAGGAGGGAGCACAGGGCAGCTCCAACATGCTTGAGCGGCCGAGCAGCTCAAGCATCAAAACCTCAAAAGCTCAAAGACTTCCGAGCAAAACCAACGCAGCGCCGGAGAAGGGAGGTAGAAGCAAGAGAGAAGGGAGAGAAAAGGGGATCCACCATCTTTTTAAGTTTTTGTCTTTTTTACTTAAATTAAAATTTAAAACTTAAATTAAAAATCAATGACTGGTTGAACCAGTCGGGTGAACTAGTTCAACTAGTTGACCCGGACCCGGTGGTCAAAACGGGCCAGCCACCGGGCCGGGCTAAAAAACATTGGATGTATTGCCCATTAATTAAACTCAAGTATTTATGCTTACCTCACTGTCCCGGATCTTTTTTTTTTTTTTTTGGGTGGAATGCTGTTCCGGGGTTGATTTCAGCAAAGGAAGGATGGAGTAGTAGCCTTAGCCTAGTACAAGCCTCAGCAATATTGAAAAGATTTGATCTTGTTAAAAGATATGGTTTTTCATAATTGGGTGGATTTGATTTTGTTAAAATATGAACACAATAATTTAGATTATATTCACACTTATTGTAAATATTTTATACTTTAAAATATTCTCTTTATATATTTTATACCTTAAAATATTCTCTTTGTAAACAAGTCATTGTACAGTATTATTTAAAAAAGTAATAAACTTTTCTTCAAATATTTCTCCTTCTTTTTCGATTTCTAATATGGTATCAGAGCTATAAGCTCTTAATTCTTCTTTTATCACTGCTTGGTTATTGAATTGGATTTTCAGATCTGAAACTTTGTTGTTGGGTTCTCTTCCCTTGCAGATTGGATTGTTTATTCTCAATTCTCACGCCCTTTTTGAAGAACCATGACTCATCTTGCTATTGCAATGGTTGCCAAAAAGGTGATAAACCAACCAATTGTCAACCCTAAATTTCTAAAACAGGTGATATTAAATCTTCTTAATGCTCCTACTGCCTTATTTGCTACTCCTGGTACTAAACCTTGGTATTTCGATTCTGGTTGTTGTAATCGCATGTCTTCAACTACTGCTTATTTTTCTTCAATGTCACCAAATAATTCATTTCCTGACATTTATTCTGCTAATGACTCCCTTATGAATGTTAGTCACATCGGCAATATTTCTATAAATTCATTAACTTTACCAAACGTTTTCTTAGTTCCAAAACTTAGTTATAATCTCTTATCTATTGGTCACTTATGTGATCTTGGTATTGAAATAACTTTTTCTACTCATGGTTGTCGTGTGTTGGACCCACAGACAGGACAACTTCTTGAAATTGGTCGCCAGGTGGGGTGTCTGTTTGAGCTCAATTATCTGCATATACCTAATCATAAAATGGATACACCATCATTTTCAAATGACCGAATTCATCCAAACCCTACTATGTACTGTTGAATTAAAGTCTTTGCAAATTCCATATCAACAAATCCTCCAAGCCTGTGTTGTTACTAATATTTCTCCTCTTCATTTATGGCACTCATGGCTCGAACACACCTCAATCGGTAAACTCCGTCCTCTTATTTCTCGTGGTTTATTAGGATTTTTTCCAAATGAATCTTTGCATTGTGTGTCATGTCAATCTGCAAAACAACCAGCTTTATCATTTAGGTTAAATGCTTAATTTGGTCCCTTAACTTTATGAAATGCACATTTTTGGTCCCTCAACAATTTTTTGCACTTTTTTGATCCCTCAACTATACAAAATGCACTCCGTTAGTCCTTCTGTTAATTTGGGCCGTTAACCTTGCTTAGGTGGCATTTTTTATATTTTTTTTTATGATGTAGAGAGCAAAACTTAAAAAAGTGATGATATGCACAAAACTTCTGCCATGTCACATGCTACCCTGGTAAAATCACGCCAAATCCATCCAAATGGGTCCCACATCACCACTAAGAATTGCTTCTTTGCCCATCGGTTACTGTTTTTTTTCTTTCCATAAACGGTGTTCTTTCCATTTTCAAGATTGAAGTTCAACAGAACCCAGCAGATCTGGGTTCGATGTAACCTAGCAAATGGGTTCCATCGAACCCAGCTCGATTCATTGAATTCAATTGCCCAAAAATCCCTCACAACAACCTGCAATTGCCCAAAAATCCCTC